CAAAAGGGCCTCCCCGTCCCGCCTCGTCCAGGTCCGCGTGGGCCGCGTGCCGGCAGCTGGGTGGCTGCGGTCCCCGGGGGAGACCGGAGCCGCGGCAGGGAGCGGGCGGGCCGGGGCTGTGCCCGACGGTGCCGGTGGTTGTCCGGAGATCGCCCGGACAGCAGCCGGAGTTGCAAAACCAGAAGTTTCGGTGGAGGCTCCTTCGGAGGTCCCCACTGAGCGCCGGTACCGGGAGCCTGGGACCGTAAGGGTGTTAATTTGTTTGTGCGGATGGGTTTTTTGCCACGCCTGCCCCTGTGTCTTCCTCTAACATGTCGGGTTGTCCAAGGCTCTGTGAGGACTCAGTGCTGCTCCTCCTGCGCTGGCTTCGGGGGCATCATCGCCCTGGGATGTCCCTGGGGTTTCTGTCCCGTGGGATGTCTCCTCAGGCCGGGCACCTGCCTGTTCAGAGGCTCAAGCTGGCCAATTTCCCGGAGCACCCCACAGCTCTGCCTGTGAGGTCCGAGGAGCAGTGCAGGTGGGTGTAGTACCTTCATCTTTGGTTTCCCAGCCTGTTTTGCCCCGGATCTACTGTTGGTAGAGTGGCTGAAACCTTATTTTCATCCCAAGCATTCACTCTTGGGTAGGGCAGTGCTTAGAGTGCCGTTGGTCGTCTGTGAGGGCTCTGGGGGTCACTTGCTGCTGTGACAATTTCCCAGGCATTTGATGTCTTTGTACCTAGATACTCACAAGGGCAGCAGTGATTCCGAGCTTGTGGACCAAAGGAAAGAAGAGTTAATCACCTGTGGGAAATGTTTTATAGATGTATTTGCCTAATTACATTATTTGCTTTACAGTGGGTTGAATCTTGAAGACAATGGGGAAAAAAACCCCTTATTTCTTCTCTGCCTATAAAGCAGAAGACCATCCTGTAAAAATATACTAAACTATCTGAGTCTAAAGTAGTTTCCTTTTGAAGCGTGTTTCCCAGGTGGTTTAATATCCAGGAACTTGAAAGCCTAAAAGTTGTACTTATTTTTTCCTTTCTCTGAATAGTCAACTAGCTAGGGAGAACAGCATTCGTCTTTTTAAAATACTTGCTTTGAAATGCGTTGTTAATGTTATCTGGAATGAGACTCAACCTGAAGCCCTTTGGTTAGGATCTGTGCTGTGGTGATGCTGGCACACTTTGTAGCCCTTAATAAAAAATGGGTGAGAGAATTGTCCTTTTCTGAGCATCTTTTGGGAGGGGTCATAGTGTGGATTTTTAAAAATAAAAAAGTAGTTAGAGAAGGGTTTCTTTATGGGTTTGATTATTTATCTTTTCCTTCCTCTGAAGCTTTTTGGGACTAGACAAAAAATAATATAAAGGGGACCAAGTGGGATGAGGGCTCTGCTGTGAGACCAAGTCCCCTTCCTTTTCTTTCTACCTCCTTCAGTAATGGAATTAAGCATCAGGGACAATTGTTGTAATGATGTCCTGGACTTTGGTTGGTTTGTGGTTTAGCCCCTTCTTAGCTACACAGACGACGTTTGAACTCTGTTCTGTCAGTGTGTGTTGTAGTCAGAAGTAGAAATAATGATGTAGGAGGATCTTAGTCTGGGAAAGTTTATTTTTATTAAATTTAAGGCTTGACTGTTTCCCCTGCCACCTATTTCCAAAGGACAGCGTGTGGCAGGCAATGACTAACTTAAGGTTTGGGAGCACTCTGGGAATGTGAGTTATTATAGTCAAAGCTGCTCTGCTGAACTAGTGGTTCTTTGTTCCCAATTTCCCTTTCTTTTCTGTGTGCATCCCAACAAAACTGCTTATTTTATTGATCACAGCAAAATATGACTTGTTACCAAAGTGCTTGAGCCAGCCTTTGGGGAAAGAGACAAACTGTGTGCACGGGGCTGCGTGGGGTAGTGAGGCAGTGAAGAGCTTGTGGCTGTGTTCAGTGATGTGACCCAAGTGAAGTCAGCAGCTCTGGCTTCTATTCCCAGTTCTTAAAATTATTACAGTCCTAGTTTTGTAGCAGGGATGGTGAAAAATCAGGGACTTTTCAGGACGAGTTTTGAATGTGTTGATTTGGAATTGAATTAATGACCTTTGAAAAGCCGTTTAAAATGGTGGAAGCCTTGTACCTATTAAATGTGATCTGCACATTAATTTTGCTCTTGAGAAGATCAGCTATTATCAGTGTTTATTTTAAAAAATAAATCTGAGGTCGTGCAGTGTGTGCTGGCTGATGAAAAAGGCAGGAAAAATCAGCCATAGGGAAAAAGAGCTTTCTTTTACTTTTGTGGGAATTTAGACTGCCCTGATTAGTCTCTGCTTAGCAAAGGCTGTGGTTATTAAAAACAAATGTGTATCCTGTTAGTCACCAATATCTGGCAACCTTATGTACTTCACGTTTATCACAAACTCTGGTTAGATGGTCTCTACTAGAGGGAGTCTTAATCTTCTTAATTGCTCAAAAGTATATATTCTTTTTCCCAGACTAATAAATGAGTGTATTTACAATTCTGTCATAAACTTGATCTATTTATTTTCCCTTTCTTACCAATGATGTATGGCACTGGAATTTTAATTCTGACTTTGGCTTGTTTTGTACAAGGGTGTCAATATTCAGGGCAGACATTGAGGGTGGGATTGTGCTGTAGCTTTGGATGTTGTAGACACAGGAAGCAGAGTAAGGGAGGTGACTGAGTGGATGGATGGGTAGTGTGGTGATGGTGGATAACCCACACAGTGGCAGGGGGGTGCTGGAGGAGGGAGAAAAATCAGGAAATACTGAAGGGACAGGATTCAGGATATAAACAGGGAAGTACATGAGGCTTGTCTGTGTGCTTAGAGCCATCTGAAGATGGCTGGTGCTGGTTTTTGGTTCATGTCACTTCCAATATGAAATCGGTGTGTCACCCTGAAAATTAAGCCTTCCGATAATGTTTTCATAGTTTTAGTTACTTTCCTATGAAAGTCCTGTAAACATAAGTTACCACATTCCTTCTAAGAAATGTCTTTTGATTGACGTTTTGCATGACCAGTGTGCTTGGGAAGGTTAATTATCCAATCCCTGGTCATTGTTGAGAATCTTTAAATACTGGAGTCAGAGAATAAAGGGACGGGTTTTTGTTCTGAGAGTGGTTGTGTGAATTTTTTTGTGTCCTTTAGCGTCACCAGTGCATCTTTTCATTACCAGTGTGGCCCTTAGGGCCATTTGTAGAGTGAGTTCCTCTGTTCTGGTGAGATGTGTTTCGGGAGTATTCAGACTCCTAAGCTGTCACTGAGAAGTTTTTTTCCTACTCTGTCATGACTTCTGAATTTGAACAGGCAATAAATATTGTGTGGTGGCCTGTTACCAAATTTAGAAGCTTTCCCAAGATCTAATCACTTAGTACAGAATGTTGAAGGTACCTTCTTACTCAGCTCCCATAGAAAATAAGTTTGTTGTTTCTGTCTGCAGGTGGGGCCCCCAGTCTTGGCATCTTTCTGCTGAAAGTGGAAATGCTCTTTTAGTGCTTAAGATTGAGTGTTAATAAGAGGCACTTGGAAATTTTAAGAATGCTCTTTATTGAATTGGGATCTAGTTGCCTTCGTTTAACTTCTGAAAAATGCTCTCCTAGAACCTCTGGTGGAATGTGGGGCAGCACAGTGAAGGGAATAACCAGCCAAAGAAGTGCCGGACTGCTGGAATTTTCTTCCAGTGACTGATGGAGTTAATGATCTGAGAACTGTTTGCATGGTTTATGCCCCAAATTGATACTTTTAAAATGTCAGAGCCTGGGAGATGGCTAGAACCTGGAAAGGCTGTGCCTTCTCCAGCTGCAAAGTCATGGGAAGATAACTCCCCTTGGAAACAGTTGGAAGCCTCAGGGGTCTTCCAATCTGGTCTAGCTTGTGTGGTAGATATTCTTACTTTTGATTATGGTCAGGGCTTTGCTGTAGGATAGAGCCTATTCCAGTCAGCAGATCCCTGTGCAAGATGGGTGACCTCTGCCTGCTCTTGGAAAGTCCCATGGAATTAGTGATGAAAAACTGTTTGTCTGGAAAATAAAGCTAACAAAATCCTAGAGTTAGAACTGGTAATAAAATCTTTTTTTGTCTATCTATTGTCATACCCTAAAAAATGGTTTAGGCCATTTGCCAGGGAAGGCAGAGCACTGTGAGGAGCTACTTTTAAGTTCTCCCAGGTAGGGAGTTGTGGTGCCCTGCCACAACGTGCTGGCTGCCTGTTCCTGCCTCCGTTGTGTTTTGCCTGTTCAGCTGTGCTAGCACAATTGTCTGTCTGTGCTGTCAGGCAGATGAGATGCTGGCAGGGCTCTCCAGGGCATTTCAACAATGCCCCTGTGCAGCTTGGGAGCTGTCACAGCAGAAAGCCAGGGTACAGCAGCAGCATGGGAATGTGCTCCAGGGGTGGGGTGGCACTGGGCTGGAGCAGGGTACTGCCAGAGCTGCACCCTCAAACAATGACATGAGCAGAGAAAAGCTGTAGAAGCACTAAAAGACAAGTGTGATCCTTGGCCCTGGGAGAACATTGGTGAGCTCATGCTGGAAGTGTGCAATGAGAAGATTCTTCTGTAGTTGCTGGGGGAAATTGGGAATTTTTTTTTCCCCATGTCTGCTTTTCTTTAGGAAAAACAGACCATATGAATGAGGAGGATCAGCAAATCTGTACTTAGAAGTGGAGTAGGAAATATTCCTAAAGTTAAAGAAGCTTGCAGAGGCTGGCTGCCTTTCTTCCTTTTGCTTGAACCAGGACACTTGAATTCCAGAGAGTATGTGAAACACAGTGTTTGTGAGAGGAAGGGAGCATGGCTCAGCTGTTTCAGCACTGTTTCTCTCAGTTGTTTCTTGCTCTCATTGATAAGCCAAAAAGCAGAGGGAGCCTCCTGCCACAAGATGTACCTTTGTTTTCACAATTCCTTTCAGGAAAGCTGGACTTTGTGTGCTGAAGATCTCTCTGCACTTGCATTTTTCTGTTATCATGGCAACACCACGTGTGGCGGCAGAGGTTTCTAGCTCATCTCTTACTTCTCATGCAGTCTACTACAACTTGTTTTGCTGAAAGAAGTTCTGCTTTGCTCTGTATCTTTTGTAGTGTCAAATGTCTCCTGTTTTCCTCTTTCTGTGGTGAACATATTTATTAATTAAGTTATTGAAATAAAGCACCCTACAAGACTCCAACAGTGACTGCAAGTAGTTGTTTACTCACCATGTTTTTGGTTTTTTAATAGAGTACACTTACACTGTACAAAGACTTTTGTAGACAGGAGGCCTGTTGCCATGTTCTTGCCTGTAGTGCTTCTTAAAATGTGGGTTGCAGCCTTCCTGTGCCGAAGGTCAAGTGTGTGAGTGGCATTTCTTACATCTGCCTGCTGCAGTGGTTGGGGCCTCCAAAGCACTGTTTGACTGCCACAGTTTCTGTAGCAATTTCTCATTTTCACCTCTGAGGACCAGACAGCTACTCACCCCAAAACAGCTTGGGGCTCTTCTGGGGTTGGAGAAGCAAGCTGTGTATAGTAAAGACTGTGGTGTTGTCTATGTTGTCTTTTCTGTGTTATCTGACTGTGTATCTCTGGTGGATGCTGCCTGCCAGGCTGCACTGCAGCATGGGGGTCAGTACTGGTAGAAGAAATTAATTGTAAAAATAATATCTCTCCTTTCAGTTGTGTTGATTGGAGACTCTGGAGTTGGGAAAAGTAATCTTCTGTCACGTTTCACACGCAATGAGTTCAATCTGGAAAGTAAGAGCACCATTGGGGTGGAATTTGCCACCAGGAGCATCCAGGTGGATGGGAAGACGATAAAAGCCCAGATCTGGGATACTGCAGGCCAGGAGCGATACCGCGCCATTACCTCAGCGTGAGTACTGTGTCTTTGCTCAACAGAATTCTAACAGAGATGCTGCAGATAAATATATGGGTAGAGAATGAAACATATTGGGTACACATCACAAAGTCATTGCGACAGACTTCAATGTAGATCCAAGTTGTAAGATAGCAAATACTTTTGTGTTCCCTTGATTAATATAATGAAAATAATTTTTAGATTCTTATGTTACTGTTATAGAAACAAATGACAACTTAAATCAAAACTGTGGGAAATTCTGTTTGAGTTTTGGGATTTGGTTTTTTTGTCTGCACTGAATATACTGTGTTCATTTTGTGGAGTGTCATTTCAGATGGAATCTGAGTAGTGTTGGTATGAAGTTTTGGTTTAAATGTGGTAGCTTACTGTAACACCCATGGCTTCTGGTCTCAGTTGACCCCTCAGTCTTGAGATTGAGGGTACTTTTAGGAAAACCTGCAGTCACAAAGTCCCTTGAAATCTCAGTGACTTTGAATTAGTCACAGCCCTGAAAATCAGGTCCATGAGTGCACACATTGAATAGCTAGAAAGTAGGAAGGCAACTATGATAGGGCTGGCTGTGCAACAGTGTCCCTGGAGGTGAGAAGCTTTTTCACCTGTGGCACCTTGTTAATCCACAGAGTGGTTTGAGGTATACCTGTTTCTATGCTGGCAAAAGTATCTGGCAGAGGTCAAAAAGCAAACCCTTTAGTCAGGCCTCATTCTCCAGAACATTTTCTGATCAGTGAGGTGATTTTTTGTTACATTACAGATTTGTATCGGTTTTTAAAGGTAAAAACATGTTTCATGAATCATTGGAGGCATTAAACTCAAGGTAAGGGGAATTTTGTTAAGATGGTAGAAAACCAGGAGAGCCTGGAGACCTAAGGAAGTAATCTTAAGGGAAAGGGATGCAGAAGCAGATGTAAGTGACAATTTCAAATTGCATCTTTTCTGGAACTTTTTTGTTTGTGTGACTTCCAGAATTTTTTTTTTGTGACCCTTGTTCCTGCTAAAAACTGCTAGTCTAGTCTGGGTCAACAGCAACAGGTTTTACTGCTGGGAACTGGCACTGACTGCTGCTTGACACATCACTCAGCCAGTTCAGCCTGCTTGGCCAGCAGAATGCCAAACATCAGGGAAAAGGGAATGTTGTCTGCTGACTTGGTGCCCTGACTCAGTTCAACATGTCAGACAGGTGCTGACAGAACTGAGAAGAAATGGTAGGATCATGTGAAAGAGAGATATGGATGTTACAGGATTGCTGATACAGATTGGTTTGTGTTGAAATGGGCCCAAACATGTGCGGAGGGGGCAACATGAGGTTTGTGGATAGTGACAATATAGCCCAGAGTCCCTTCTTTAATTTGTAGGAGGGACAGCAGATATTTGAAGGATCAGGAACAAATATTGACAATTTATTAGGGTCTATTTTCCTTGGAGAAAGTTAGGCTGCAACTTCACAAAAACCTTCCAACTGTACCAATTCTTCAATGCTGAATTTTCCTGCACACGGTTGGAGCAGACCAGACATTTTTAGTCCTGGTTTCTGCAGCCTCTCTAGAATTTTGGTATACCTACTGGATTTTTTTAGAAATGCCATTAGAAAAAAACCCTACATTTGGAACTTGGTTTTAGGCTTCAGAACCACTCCAACAACACTATCTGCATCAGCACAACTTTTTCCAAAGTGGAAAGCATTATAGCAGAGCTAGGTGGCCTGTTTGCTGGTGTGGCTGGTACTCACTCTTGCTGAAGGGCTGTGCCTCATGGTTTCAGATATTACCGTGGTGCTGTTGGGGCTCTGCTTGTCTATGACATTGCCAAACACCTCACCTATGAAAATGTGGAGCGCTGGCTGAAGGAGCTGCGAGACCACGCTGACAACAACATCGTGATCATGCTGGTGGGCAACAAGAGCGACTTGCGCCACCTCCGGGCCGTGCCCACTGACGAGGCCAGGGCCTTCGCAGGTTTGTACTGGGGCTTTGGGCGCCTGGGGGATGGTGCCTGCTGTGATCACACTGTTTTGTCCAGAGCTGAACTCTCACCTCAAGTTTTAGTTTGAACCCTAAAAAAGACATTTAAGATGTTTTGTGGGGTTTTTTGTTTGTTTTTGTTTTTTTATTAAAATATCTTGACTTATTAACTAGCATGTGTCGTTGATTTGGGTTTTTTGGGGAATTTTTTGTCATTTTTAGTTTGTGGTTTTCTGTTGTTTTTTAAATCTAGTGGTAGTACATGTTTTTGAAACACTGTCCTTGAGCTGCTTGATAGCTGAAGATTAAACACTTCCTCTAACAACGCTAGAAAGAGTAAGCAACATTTAGAAGAGAAAATATCACAATAAAAAAATATAAAACATCACAATACAAAATGTCCTTTCTTCCTAATGACCTGCTTCTGCTCTGTACATATCAATGTGGACAGCTACAAATGAATACTGAACCTTCTCTTAGATGGGGTGGTTGATGCTCTAGAGCTCTGACACATATAAGTAGTGTCGTCTAGTCTCACTTAAAGGCAGCGATCATCAGACTTGAAAATTATCATTTGTTGGGAGAAGTCAAGGGGGTTATGTAAGATCCTGCCACTGCATTCCTTCTCTCCTCCTTACCTGGTGAAGCACTGGTCAGATATTCTTTTGCCCTGAAAGGCCTGGGGACATTCGGCTTTTGTGTGGCTGTCAAGCTTGGAGGTGAACTGTAAATGTACAACTTCTAAAATACCTCTAGAAATACTATCAAGGCTTGCTTATACACACTTTCTGAAGTTTGCTGGTAAGCAAGTACCCTGAAGTATATATAATAAAGCTGCTTCAAATTTTCAGATGGAGGAGAAGTGACATTTATCTAAGATAAGCAAAACAAGTTGGTGGGTGCCCCAGATAGTCTTATTACTTTGGTCACTTGGTTCAGCTTCTTACTCTTTTACCCTGACTTCCTCTTAAGGCTGTTTTAAATTGTTAGTGGTGGTCTAATTGTTGGCTGTTTAAGCTCCATGACTGAAATTTGTCTGTTCCTGGTACCATACTGCTACAGGTATGATATTTGAGTGTTAATCACTTTCTTTTTTAATTAAAAAAAAAAATCTTTGGCACTGTAAGAGGCAAGAAGAGAACAGACTGTGTTCCAGAGGGTCACTGTTATTTGGGAGTGGAGTTTGATTAGGAAAGTATAGATCTATTGATCTTTTTGGGATTGCAGAGGAGAATTGTGTCTCTGTAGCAGCTGATGTGCTTTTGCTCAAAGTACCTCTTGCTCAAGGTACCTCTGCTCAAGGTACCTCTGGGTGTGATCTGTAGCCAAAAGAGAATGATATTTCGTGTTGCTTGATTGAGCAAGGGCTGCAGTGGAGAAAATGTTCTTGCGCTTTGGGAAAAGGAGATGTTGCTGACCTGCACCACCAAGGTATTCCTTGTGCAACAGGGAAAAGGAAAAAAATAGCTGTAGCTTGGCTGGTTTGGCCTAAAATAAAAGATAAAAACTGCCAAGTAAATGTGAAATAAAGTATTATTAAAATTTTTAACTGAACCACTTCTTATTTTTTACAGAAAAAAATAACTTATCTTTTATTGAAACGTCTGCTCTGGATTCAACAAATGTAGAAGAAGCCTTCAAAAACATCCTTACAGGTATGGTTTGTTATGGATTCAGAGGAGCTGCTGAGGTGGTGGATCTTCTTCATGGGCACATTTTGTAGTTTTCTGGAATGTTTTGGAAATGTGTGTTGGGAATGATAGTTAGTTTGCAAGCTTTCTAATCTCACCTGTGTATTCTGCCTCCCACTCCTTTCTGTCCCAAGAGAGGGTTTTGGTCTCCTGGAGGTTTCTATCTCCTGATCTTCCATAAGTTCAAGCTATTGGAATAGCACTGTTTTAAAGGAACTGGTAATTGTACTTCTGTGTGTGCACAAAATCTTGTTAGTGAAGCCCCAGCTATGCTGGAAGTTAAATGTTCCAATATCTTCTCTTGCACCAAAGCAGACTGGTACCATTTTCAGACTACTGAACTCTTGTTCTCAGCTGATAGCAAGGGTTGTAGGGTTACAGGTGATTGCACCAGCAGCATCTTATGTAGAGAAGGACCTGGGGATTCTGGTGGGTAATAGGTTGACAGTGAGCCATGGGCAGGGATACCTCCCACTGTTCTAGGCTGCTCCAAGCCCCATCCAACCTGGCCTTGGAGACTTCCAGGGATCCAGGGGCAGCCACAGCTGTCTGGGCAACCTGTGCCAGGGCCTCCCCACCTTCACAGTCAAGAATTTCTTACCACTATCCCATCTAACCCTGCCCTCTGGCAGTGGGAAGCCATTCCCCCTTGTCCTGGCACTCCAGGCCCTTACCCAAAGTCCCTCTCCAGCTCTCTTGGGGGACTGTAGATGTTGGAAGTCTGCATTAAGGTCTCGCCAGAGCCTTTTCATCTCCAGACTGAACAACCCCAGCTCTGACTCCAAGGTGCCCAAGAAGAGGCAGAAAGGAAAAAAAAGGCAGTCGGGCTGCCTCTATAGGTACAAAGCCTGACAGACGAGGAATGGGTTGTATTTTCTGCCCAGCAGATCTGTGTTATTAGAGCCACTAGTGAAGCAACTGGAGTGTGAGGTAGGGCCAACTGCCCAGAGCTGGACCTGGGCTGGTCTCACACTGTGTGGCAGATTCATGGCTGATCTGGGACACTTGGCTGGATCTGAGGCAAGTTCCCGGGCACTTTGAGACAGTATTTTTTATTTTAGTGCTTTGAGTGTAGTTCAACAGTCACCATCAGTCTTGTCTTCCCTTGCAGCGTTGTCCTGAGACTGACCCTGGTTAGAGATGCTGGCCTGAGGCTACTCTAGGAGAGCCACAATGCTGTAACAACTCAAGCTGAGGTCAGGCCTGGGCAAACTGAACTCAAACCCCTCTCTCTCAGAGCCTCCTGGGCTCCCAGAAGTGTTGAGATTGTCCAGTTTGGAGACAGCATAGGCACACGGATAATAAGCCTGAGAAGTCCTTGAAAGGCTGTTCCTAAAGTGATTACACCTGGGGGGAATCATCCCTCTAAGAGAGGAGAAGGAACCTAGGAAAATGTGCTGTGTAGAGTAGTGAGTTGGGAACCACCACAATGGACTTGGCAAAGGGAAGAGAGTGGGAACAGCAGGGCAGGAGTTTCCGTACTGGCCATTTGTGTGAGGAATCACTAAAGACTGTAAGAAAAACACCCACAAAACAAACCAAAGAGATGCTACCCCAAAGCAAAAGGGGCTTGGCAACAACTGAACAGCTCAAATTCAAATACAGTACTGTGCAGGAGAGAAAGAGAATCTGACAGCCTCTGAGCAACCCTCCTCCTCTCTTTCAGCAAAGATCTGTATGTAGCCAGTGGCAACAAGATTGGCCTTGAGGCCAAACCAAAAGGTTTCCATTTTAAACAACATAAATATGTGCAGATTCTTTTTTTTTAAAAAAAAAGCCTTACAAAAAACCCCCATAAACAAGCCCTGCACAGTCCTCACAGTCCGTGATTTTTAATCCTTACTAAAGGCTTTGGGTGTTGATGTTTTGGGCTTGTGGCTGTATGAATGTGACCATAATGTTTACCACAGACTTCCAGGGAAGTACTTGCCCTTTTCCTGTTTCACAATGGAGGGAAGTTGGAACAAGGGTTTATAGTCAGTGAAATAAGTGACTTCAAAACCTTTCCACTTAAAAGACATCTGCTAAATATGCAGTTGAAACAGTTTGCTTCTGATAGCTTTTAAGCTGGCAGTCTCTCTTCAGTGGTTACAGTTTTGTGGATCTGTGTGCTTTCAAGCATAAGTTAGTTTGGGTCAAATAAATGCATTTGGAGAAGTATGGGCCTTTATGGACCCATGCAGTTTTTTCCTGTCATAGTTAGGAAAACTGATGTGTTGCAGAGAGGAGCATTGCTGTTACTTGGTTGCCAGGCAGGTATCCAAGAGCAGAGGTGGGCATCACGTAACTTGTTGCTGCTGCAAAGGTTTCCCAGCATCCCGGTGATTGGTGTTTTTAGAGTATGCTGCCCACTTTTTTTTAATCACAAAGACAATGATTCCCTGTTTAGAGATGAGCATTCCTGCTCCTTTCCCATTAAAAAAACGTTTTAATAGTCCCCATTTTCGTGAAGTCATTGAAAAAGATCTGGATAGGAAGTGCTGTTGCAGAAGACAGTGAGGACACTTGTCTTAATGACTTTTCCAGACAGAGCTGGTGTATTCATTCCAGAAACTGGAATGCCAGCCAGATGTTACATGCCACATTTGGTTAGCCTAGATTCCCTTTCAGAGCCCTCAAGTTAAATCTTCTCCTTCTTGTGTTCTGGTGTGTTCTTGGACAGTTTGCTCAGTGCTGTGCCTGTGGGAGACCGTGCGCCTGAGGCTCTGACATGTGTGCTCTCCTTGCAGAAATCTACCGCATCGTGTCGCAGAAGCAAATTGCCGACCGGTCTGCGCACGATGAGTCTCCTGGCAACAACGTTGTTGACATCAGCGTCCCACCAACCACCGATGGACAGAAATCCAACAAACTCCAGTGCTGTCAGAACCTGTGACCTTCTCTAGATGACTCTTGTGCCCTCCACTTTGTCTGTGCTTCATTTAGAAACTTGTGTGCACTTCCTATCTCCTGTGATTCAGTGACTCCCTCCTCCTTCCTTTATTCCATTCCCAAATCTCCCCTCTCATACTAGAGCTTTAACTGTAGGGCTAACATCCCCCTGCCTCTGAAACCCCTTCCATGTGGTGACTTCTGGGCTTGAAATGTAGTCACTGATCTGATAGACATGTTTGTGTTGGAACATCTGCTGCTGGATATTATCCCATGAAACACTCTTATCAAATAGGCTTGTTTTGGTTTTACTAGGTTTTTTATTTAGTTTGGTTTTGTTGTTGTTGCTTTCTGGGAGGGGAACAATGGGACTTGACTCTACCAGTTGAAGAAATAACTACATTTAGGCAACAAGGTTTTTTCCTCCCATAGTCAGATATCTTTTTTCTTGTGTTTCTGTAAACATGGGGGAGAAATTAAACTAGCTATCCTGCCAAATGCTCTGTTTTCTGTTCTGATGAAGTCTCACAGTGAGGATTTAGTGGCTGCACACACATAAGAAAGCTGTTGAAAATAACCTTACTTATTCAGTAATTACCCCTAATACAGTTAGTCTGGCTATGTAGTTTACTGTTTCCTGCTTGGGAAATCTTTCTCTATTCTTGTTTTATTTGGGAACAATAAAATATGTCTGCATTGCTTTCTCTGCCACCATGAGTGCTTTTGCAGGCTTTATGAAGTGGCGTAAAACTTATTCATGACTTATGTTAATCAGTTAACATTATTGTACAGTAAGTGCCAGTGTATTGATTTCAGAACCCTTTTGCAGCCGGTACAAGTAGGCTTCTTTTGTACTGTAGGTCAGTGTCTGAAAGCAGGATCTGCTCTAGTTCCTGGTTTGTTTTTTTTTTTTTTTGCATGCTGCTTTTTCTAGATCGCTCCTGCCCCTGTCTGAGTGAGTGAGGCAATATTTTCATGTCACATATATACCTGCACTTGTAAGGGTTTTGGTTGTTGTAGAGAAACACAATACTTTATATATTTTGTAAAACTTCTGCAGATCCATAGTATCTGGAACTTTCTCTTCATGATCTTTCACTATTGACCTCTACTAAAATGCATAATATTAGGATTTCACACAATAACTACTAACCTGTTGCTTTCTTACCGTTTTACTGAACTGCAGACTGCAATTCTTAAATGATTGTAATTCACTGATGTAACAGATTTGTCATCAGCAGGGCTAACTACTCTAATTCTTTGTTGTGCTGAATGGGAAGAATGTTACCACAACTTTGCGTAGTCAGTCTCTTGCTTGCTTGTGCAAATCTCTGATGGCTTTTCATCACTCACTTGCTCTTGCACACTTGTATCCCCTCTGGTTTCCACTGAATGTTCTGATGGCAAATACTGGGTGAGACAAGCTAAAGGAAGAGCTGGAGACTATCTGCTGCTCCCTGAACGCTTGTGGAGCCACTTGCAGTGAGTTTTTGCTCTGTATTCCGAGCCTGTACCTCACTGGATGAGTCCCAGCTGCATATTAGTGAGTTTGATTTTTCTTTACTGATACAAAGCAAATACGAAATTGAATTGTGCTTGAAGAGGAAAGTCTGACATTCCAGCCTCAACTGTTCTGTCTGGTTATGTAATAAAATTAAGGGCAGTTAACTCTGATGGTTTTTCTTTTATAAGATTTCCAGACCAATGCCTTTAATTTTGTACAGTATGCACTGAGAGGCCTCCAGCTCACAGCAAGGATGGGTGTGGTGTCTGTCACTTCCACTCTTCAGCTTTGTTTAGGGGTTACATTCATGGTTAAAGGGTGCATGCTTGCAGCCTAATCCCATTGAATGAGGGCATGAATTCCTCTTTAGGCATCACAGGGCTCTGTCCTAGGGGTGTTCCAGTTCAGGAAGCACTTTTAACACATGGTGTTTACTTCACTAGCATTCTGTTGAGAGAAGGTGAGAACTGAGATGTCATAATGTGCCATCAGTGTTCAGACAGCTGACAATGAGAGAACGGAAAATTCTGAAATACTGAAAATATTTCATTTGAGAACAAATGGACACTAGTGGAGCTGGGCTCCTTCATTTTTGAACAAACTATATAAAGAAATCAGTTGGATAACATGAGGAATTGTACTTTTAAAAAGATTTATTAGTTCAGGGTGGTGTATTAACATGCTTAATCTGCAAGTCCTGTTCTTAACATGAAGTTTCTAGAATCAGTCTGGCCTGGTGTAAGAAGCCAAGAAGCAGTTTAGTCACTTGCTTGTCTCTTGAAAGATTTTCTTTAGTCTTTGACTTTGTGGAAGGCTCTAAACATTGTAGTGAAAGGTCAGTGTCTAGGGCTTAAGTGCTGTTAAATTTATGGGTATTGAAGAACTCTTGAACAATTCCATTGTCCAAAGCCCCCTCAGCACCAGTGGACCTTGGACAACTCTGTTGTGGTTGAGATGTGTTGTGTGACTGGGAAATGCCTCTTAGCCTTTGCTGGGGGCACCCAGGATGGAGGAGTTGTGTGTACGCACGTGTGCACCCATGTAGCTGCTGAGAGCACTGGGAACAGGGTGGGGTTTTAATCTGCTGTGGTCCCTCAGTATGAGACAAGGTTCTTCCCCAGGCTGCTGTGCTGCTTTCCAGGCAGAGCTACAGCCCTTCTGTGGATCTGAGGTGCTCCTGCCCAGACTAAGCATAGGGCTGTTTGTTACAATAGATAAAGGACAGTGGACCAGTTCTGCCAGGTTAGGCCATCTTCCTGTGCAGAGACTGGGAAAATGCTTCTGATCTGGGGTTCCTGGTGTCCTTATGAAGCATTGTGCACTCCTTAGAAGCTGCATCTACAAACCAGCCCACTACTATGCTGGAATTGCTGAGGGGGAAGACTTGGAGGAATCCTGAGGAAGCTGGAAATGCTGAAGAGCTGTCTGACATTCAGAGAAGCTCTCCAGTAGCCCAGACTCCTTATGCATGCTTTCCTGATGTGTAAATTACAGACCACATGTAACCTCAACTAGACTACTTCATCCCACAGCTTTGCTGGCTGTGTGTTGCTCAGTATTACTGTCAGGAAAAAAAAAATGGTTACAGCTCTCTTCCATCTGCCCCAAGGGATTTGAGGGCTGAATTTGGCTTTTGTAAAACTCTTGATAACAGGAAAGCTGCCTGTGAAAAGAAGGAATGTGTGCTCTGCTTGCTTTACTTGGACGTTGAGGCTGACTTCCCTTTAAACTATTGAAAACACTGCAAGGCCCTGAGTGCTGCCACCTGTGTCAGTAACGCAAACATTAGATGATGTCTAGAACAGGTCCCTTAATGCAGAATTAGGCAAGGAGTCTGTCATTGCTGCCTCTCCTCTTACTGATGGGGAGGGTGAAGGCCAAAATGTGTACATAAAAGTGACTTGGTCCTGAGCACACAAATGGCTAATTGGTAAAATAAAGTTAGTCTGGATCTTCACTGGAACCTGCACAGAACAAGGAAGTTTGGTTTGTAGGAAAGTTTTGAAGCACCATACTTGTATGAATGTAAAAATCCAGTTGATGGGTGACTGCTTGCTACTGTGTTAAAAATATTTCCATGTGTGCTGTGGAGGCCATCTAGATTTGGTAGAAGAAAGGCGGTTTGGTGCCTTCCTGGCCCTGTAGCAGGTTTAGAGGCAGTAGAAAGATGGATCCCAGAGATGCCCCCATTTGGGTGCTGTTCTGTGACTCCCTGGTGACCAGGGCCTCTTGTGTGAGCACAGAGCTCTTGGCTGGGTGTGGTAAGGGTTGGGCTGAGCTGTTATTTCAATCAGTTACTTAATAAAAGCTGTTGGAAAAATGTACAGGAGGTATTTTTCCTCCTGGTGCTTTGATCCCTGTATGCTGTATTGCCCCAGAAGGTGGAAGTGGGACCTGTTTCTGGCTGAGTCTGAGGCTTGGTGATCATTTCACTTCCAAGCTGAAGGAAGAACTTGCTTAGAGGTTCTTTTGGACTCTGTAGAAGGAAAGAAGATTCCAATGAAGCAGCTCAGTCACTTAGGGAAGATTTTTTCTCCATGAAAAACTAGAACAGTGTTAAAGGTAGGGGCCTGCGTTTCAGCTAAGGAAAATAAGACAATTGGAGGTGAAGAGTAATTGTCCTTCAAGTAAAGCACAGTAAGTGGGAGATGAAGGATAGATTATCTTCACTTGCAGACTCTTAAATGTTGTTGGTGATTTATGGAATGTTTCCATGGAATGAGTATCTCCAGGGCTGTACTGTTTCAATAAATAACAGCAATTCCTATTTTACACTGGTCAGATAATGCATGGTAGTGTTGACTATCAGGCTTTGTAGGCTATAAGTAGTAGTGGGCTTTTATGTAATCCAGAAGAGAGGTTCCTTTCATTTACTTTTATTCCTGGTTCCTGTGTTAAGTGCAATTCACTTTGTAAATAAACACATCACTCGATTTTTGTGCATGGTTGTGATGTATTGTGGATATAAAGATTTCCAAATCATACTGTCTGTGTAAAATTCTGTTCCAGCCACAACTGTAGAATAATATGGGAGGGGCTCCCGAGCCAGAGCGCGGGCTGGGCCGGGGATCCACGCCCCTGTCGGTGCCCCGGGGAGCGGCAGGACGGGACAGCCGCTGCCCCGGGGCTTTGCCGGGCCGCAGGTGCCGCGTGGGGCGGGGTCCCGAGGCTGGGA